GTATTAGGCATAATTTTTCCACTGAGCTATTACTCTTTACCTGACATATCCATCATAACACCTCTCTCCTTACTGATAACCCACTACTAAGTATTGTTGCATTCCCTTTTACTCAATTACATCTAGAGGGGAAGATTCCTTTAGACTTCTTCCCTTCTGTCTCAGTTTAATAATTTTCCCCTACAACAGCACCTTGCCAAAAAGAGTACTTTCTCTATCACTACCATAAGTTTGAGAGGATCTTTTTTTTGCCTTTTCTTCCCTTCTCCCGGCTTCCTATTAGGTGACAAAGTGCAGGCCATCAAAAGCCCACCCCTACTCACCATTCACACTTCAGCAATGCTGCTGCTTAACCCCTGTGGGCTGCTAAGCACCAGACACTCAATTACCTCCTCCCCAGTGGAATGGTGGGGAGCATCCAAAGAATAAAAGTGAGAAAAGCTGAGATAAAGATGGCTTAATAGGCAAAGCAAAAGCCACAGAACAAAGAAAAACAAATAATTAATCCACTACTTCCTGTTGGCGGCCAGGAGTACAGCCATTCCAAGGACAGCAGGGCTCCAGCACTCACAATGGTGACTCAGACTCACAGAATATTCTGAGTGGGAAGGGACCCACAAGGACTACTGAGTCCAGCTCTTAAGTGAATGGCCCCTACACAGATTAAACCCAAGACCCTGGCATGATTAGTACCATGCTCTGTCACTCAGTTTCCCCTACCTTTACATGCTGACCATGACACCAAATGGAGTGGGATATCCCTTGGGTCAGTTGGGGTCAGCTGTCTCAGATGTGGCCCCTCCCAATTTCTTGTGCACCTCCAGCATTGCTGGTGGGGTGAGAAGAAAAAGCCTTGGCTCTGGATCAGCACTACTCAACAATAACTAAAACATTAACAACACTGTTTCCAGCACAAATCCAAAACACACCCCCATACCCCTACTATGAAGAAATTAACTGCTCCAGCCCGAACCCAGAAAAATCCTTGATTCATTCTCTGGCTTGCAGTGTTTCATGGTATCTTTGTTCTCTTCCACTAGGGATGGGAGCTATTTCAGGTGAGATTGCCTGGAGCTCCCACAATCCAGCACTGATATCCTTAACAGGCCCTATGAGGCATCTAACATTATCTTTGACATTGCGTCAAAGTATGCAAAGTGATTCACATCATCTTTGACCATGACTCAAAAATTAATCAGGAAGTTATCTTTTCACTGCTATCAAAACCTTATCAGTCTCAGGTTTGCATTTTCTACACTCATGCCCAAAAAACCAGTTCATAATCCTATTTTTCAGCCTACATTCTTTATTATGGGACCATGAACTTTGCTAGGGGACTAAAAACTCCTTCAGTTCCTTACTTGAGCCCTGACATACACTTGTGCACTTTCAACCACTTTCTTTCCAGCCTGCTTTCTCTGAAGACCTTTATGTTCATCCTGCACAGTGTTCTATGCATTAGCATCCCTCTGGGAGAAATCCCAAGCTATTTCCAATGACTTCTCTCCACAGTACCCACTGCACAGGGAAACTAACAACCCTACAAACAAACAGCATTTGTTATTTGACAGTGAGCCTTGAAATGCACTTCACGCAATTTACAAAAACATATAGGAAACACCTGTTCTTTATGTGGAAGGTGCCACAACAAACCGGCACGTAACATATACATTTACTTATTTTCAGAGTATTATTTTGGAAATACATATTATTCCTGCTTCTACACGTGGAAGAAATAAGATAAGCATGCAACTGCAATAAAGGACTGGAAGCTACCACCCGATCCACTAAGTGCAGCCTGCTGCAACTGCACAAGAGAACACAGGGAATCTTAGAAAAAACGCACTTTTCCTTCCTACAAAAGCACCTGACAGTTCTGCACGCTGCAACCAAACCCCTGCAGCTCCTCTGAGTGCAATCACACCGAAACGTGCAGGTAACAAGTGAGTTTTTTCCATGCCGCCACCGCAAGGAACGACACCGAGCTCAGCCAGAAACCAAGCTCACGGCGCAGGCGGCAACCCGCGTACCTGTATCATTTCCACCATCTCCGTGGTGATGATATCTTTCTCTACCATGTGCTCCACCAGCACATTCAACACCAGCTGCTTGGCCAGCATCACCCGGTTCTTCTTGAGCGCTTCCTGGTGGCACCGCTGCATGCCGCACGCCGCCAGCATCCTGGGAGGAGCGGGGGCACCACGGGCGAGCGCCGCGGCAAGGAGCCGGCCGTGCCCCCGGCCGACCGCGCCGGCGGGACCCCGCGGGCCGCGGCCGCCGCCTGACGACGCGCGGGCGGAAAGAGCGCGCGTCCCGCCTTCTCCCGGCGGCCCCCGCGATTCAAACGGCGGGACGCGCTTCCCGCCCGCACGTCACCGCCGCCGCGGCGGGAGCGCTTTCCCGCCTCTTCCTGCGCGGGCTGCGCGCGCCCCCTCAGGGCTGCGGGGCCGGGGCTGCGGCTTTCCTGGGAAGCCCAGCGCCTCCGGGTTGTTTTTTTGATCTTATATTTTTAACCTATTTTAGTTTCTCTGCCTCTGCTGAGAAGGGTTTCTGCGGCGATCAGCTGCAATCAGAAATGACAACGTGCTGTAACTAACAGGGAGGGAGGAATGGTGCGGAGAAACACGAAGGGAAATACAAAGGGAAGGTCAAGCGAGCACCCTAGGAAAGCAAATTCTCAGCTGTCGTTACAGAATAAATTGGAAAAATCAGTTGGAAAAGACCTCTGAGACCACCAAGTCCAACTTTTGACCGAACAGCACCATGGCAACTAGACCATAGCACTGAGTGCCATGTCCAGCCTTTCCTTAAACACCTCCAGGGACGGTGGCTCCGTCACCTCCCTGGGCAGCCCATTCCAATGCTTGACAACCCTTCTGAGAAGAAATTCCTCCTGGTGTCCAGCCTGAACCTCCCCTGGCAGAGCTTGAGGCCAATTTCCCTGGCCCTTTTGCTGGTTGGCCGGGAAAAAAAAACAAAACCCAACCGGCCGCAGCCTCCTTCAGGGCTCCCCTGAGCCTCCTTTTCTCCAAGCTAAACAACCCCAGCTCCCACAGCTGCTCCTCATACAACTTACAAAAAAAACCAAAAAACAAACAAACAAACAAAAAACCAACCAACCAAACAAACAAAAAAAACCAAACAAAAAAAACCCAATAACAAAAAAAGTAATATAAAGCTTCAGATGGCTTCTGCACATAACTCTTTAGCACACTGATTTCATGTGTCCGGGTGCACAGGAATTCTATCTGCTAAAGCTTAACATAAGTCCAACCTTTAGAAATATTGAAGACAAAATTGTACTGATCATAACGGGTAACATTTTTGGTCTTTGTTTTGGCTAGTTTTTAGTCTGTGCTGGCCACCTGAATTTCTTCCTGACTCCTGGCAATTTGATGTACTCAGACAAGTCCTGAGTTGCACAATTTAAGACTCAAAGTTTCTGTGCCTGTGTCACATACCGGTGACACCTTTTGGTGAGGTGTTTTTCTTTTCTATGAGCAGATACAGGAGGGAAATGCAAGTAGTGATTGACATTAAAGAAATCACATTTCCTTGATCAGCAAGTTTGTCTCTCCTAATGCTTCCATGATTGAGGTATCATAATTGCTTCATCAATAATGATAATAAAGTGATTCAGCTGCTGATTCAGAAATGAAAATCCTCTCTTTTCTAAGTCAAGATTATTAAATAAGCAGAATGCAAGCAAAAGCATGGCTTTGTGGAGTGTTTCCTTTGAGAGGAAAAATTAATGATGCCACCCGGAATTTTTAATGCAGTCCTATTTATTTATAAACAACATAAAAGGTTTATTTTTTTTCTCCCTTGAACTATAGAGAATCAAACAATAAGAAATAATTTATTTGCTTCTAGCCTATGGTTTGATGGTTCCTCATATGAATTAAAGATGCAGTCATGAGCAAGTCTGGGATGATTGCTGCTCTCTTCACAGGAGATTCATTCCAGCATTTTTATTTTTTAATTTGGACATTCACTAGATGCAAATGCATCTTTTTGCATACTGCAGACCACTTTGACACTGCAGAGCTGATCAGTTTAGCTCACCCATTTAAAAAGGCACTGCATCAGTGAGATCAGTGATAGCTAGAACACGCCTACAGCCCAGAACCATCATGATGAAGGCCAAATATGTCTTGGGAGTGTTGTCCTCTGGCACTCCACTGCCTTGGCAGACAGACTGGACCTCTCCAGAGCCCACAGAGAACTGGAGGAGCTTTGGCCTTTCTGTGCATGATGACAGTAAAGTGTCTCATGCCATCTGTTAGAGTACATCTGTAATACAGCAGACATAAACCCTGCTGTAGAGCCATGAAGTCCAAGCAGAGAATGCTTACATGTGTATATATCCCATTGCTGGCCTTTCTTGCAGGGGAAAAACTTATCTCCCTCTTGTCCACCACTGGCTGTGTGGGATGACAACATTGTGAACAACAGAAGTCATTTGATGCATACTATCAGCTTTTCAACCCTAAGTGACAGGAATCAGGTGGTACCAGCTTCCAGATGCAGTCAGATACTCTCCCCTCAGTCACACTTTTATGTAGCCCAGTTGAGGATGTGGAGCAGGTGTGGCAGACGGACAGAAACAGCTCAGACCATAAATTTGTGTTGCTGCAAAACAGCAAGGTAAGAAGCACAGGCTTGTTCTCTCTGTAGGGATTTCAGGGTGGCTGAAGTCACACTGCACTCAGCAATATTGCTGTTTGCAATGCACAGGCAGAATGTGCTTAATGTTATTTCTATTCCTCCACTTTTCCAGGCAGATTCTTCTGGCTGCATCCTACAGTCCTTCTTCAGAGGTTTACTTTCCTCACAGTGGTTTTGTGTATCTGCCAAGTCAAAGCAGTGTGGCATTGCATTGATTTCTGTTTTGTGCAAAAAGATTCTGTAGCAGAAGCTGTGTCTGTAGTTCAATTCTGGTTGAAAGAGTTGTGAGACAAACATTTAAGCAAAACATTATCTGCTGTTTTACCATCCCTCTAGGAACATCCTGTATTGAGGTGGGGGTTTGGTTCTGTGTTCATCGAAGGTGAAATCAGTCCTAATGCAGAGGGCTGGTGAGCATCTGCAAAGACCTCATCACTGATGGCAGTCTCGTAAGCAGGTGGTGGAGTGAGTGGCTCCAGTGGTTCAAACCTTTCTTCAACATTTTTGTTCTCATGGATGTCCGAAACAAACCGCTGCAGTCTTGGAGGCAGCACCAGCTGCAGCTGTGTCCTGAAGCCCGTGTCTGTCTCAGAGGTGTGCACTGTGTCTGGTGGCACTGGTCCCCGGAGAGCCTCCACCATCATGTCTTGCTGGGCAGAGGATTCAATAACGACGTTGTACGGGGGAGGCTCGCTCAGCGGCGAGGGCACAGAGCCTGGGTTGGATGTAATTGTCCATATGGCTGGAGCTGACATGGTCATCACCTCCTCATAGGTGGGTGCTTCGTAGGCAGCATTCACCCTGTGCCAGAGAGCAATGCCAGACACGTTCATTATTTTACTGCATAATTTATGTTTACAGTACGGATCATGGACAATAGGGACCATGCTACAATCAACAAATGGGACTGAGACAATGGAATTGCTGTGCAGGATATTCTGCCCTGGATCAGCTCATCTCTCCAGCCAACTGAACGTCTTTCTTACTGGTGTAGAAGGTAGCTCATCTGACCATTTTCCCTCACTCCTCAGAGTTAGTGAAGCTACCCACACTGTTCAGTTCAGTGTCCTAGGCTTAACCTGGTGTCCGCCTAGAGTTGAAATTTATCACTAAGGATTGCTAACTACTAGTTGTCTCATAGAATAAAGAACCTAAAACAGGACATATTCTTTAAATATATTAGCTAAATGTCCATCCATTTTTAAGAAGTGGAGAAAATTAAGTAGTTTCATTTAGTTTAAACAAGGGCTACTCATTCTTTGTTTAAAAGAACTATTTGCAAAGAAAAAAATGTTACTTTGGAGACATTTTCCTTTTCAGGTTGTATTTTTAAATAAAAGGATATTAGTTTTCTTTAAGTATGCCCCCAAACTAGCAGGGCCCAGTATAGACTTCTTTTTTTATATAGTCTTTCTAAAAAGAAATATTTTATTTGGGAATGTCAAGTCATTTATGCACGTGGATAATGATTATCTGGATTATGCAAGGAAGCAAGACTACATATAGAGTTAAGATCTTCAATGACAGTAGGAAAACTGGGGTTAAATTAGGTTGATGCTAAGAATCTGCAAATGAACATGAAGCCAAGAAGAGGTGGTAGTAATCAAGAGTCTCTAAAACTCAGGGGTTTTGTTAGTGTCAAACAGGAATTTTAAGAGTAGAAACACACCCAGTTACAGGTTTCTCTTAAAGTTTGCCAAGAAACTGTTGCTCTAAAGATAAGGTTTATAGAGTTAAACCCAAATAAGATTTGGTATTGCTTCAACATTTTTTCTTTTTCCTTGTCTGACTCATTGTTTGGCAAGCCTCGATTACTCAAAGAAAAATAAAATGGGCCTGGATAGATTTAACATTGTAAAGTTTTAGCGGATCAGTTCCTAGGGAGAAGAAAATTCATATTATAAAAGGCACAGGACATGCATGGCGTTGACATTTGCAACCTCCATATCAGTAATGAGGGAAAAAAATCCGAAAAGAACTTTTGTCTTTGGAAATAGAGTTTGTGTTTGGTGCCTCAGGGGAAGAACAGCAAAAGAGTGCTTAAAATGGCCATGAGTGAGGTGAGAGAGTTAAAGGGGAGTAACCAGGTTGCTGCTTACCCTGCTTGGCTTTGCCTGTTTGGAGGTATTTCATTTGCATCACGCCGATGTTGATTCCTCAGGTAACACTCCACAAACACACTCAGCAAATAGCCTACCAGGCACACTCCCCCTACCCCGAGGAAGAAGTAGCCTACTGGGTTGATGTTAGAGGAGATGGCCAGCATGGTGACCCCGATGAGAAGAGCAGAGGTGAACAGAAGCAGCAAGGTTTGGCGGATGTTCTTCCATCGTGTCTCTAACCACATGGTAGAAGGGATGGTGGTAACAGGCACTTGAGAACAGATGGGCACTTAAAGGGACAGACATCTGTGGAAGATGGAACAGTTTTTTCAATGTGAAATGTGAGCATATAAACACATTTCTAAGTATTATGATCAAAGTAAAAATATAGACACACGAGTAAGTGTATGTACATCATAAGCCTGGGAAATCTGTGCACACCAATGTAAACATATTTGAATTTCCTGTGTGTGTGCATATTAAATAGTTGGAATACTTGGACACAGTTGCAAAACATAAAATGCATAAATGGACCATCAGCACTTATTACCAGACATATCTAAAAAGGCTTAGCTTAACAAGAATACAGATTGAGCTTACTGCAAAAGCAAGACACGGAATAACTACAAGGGTTAATTCTAGGACATTTGTACCTTGTCTAATCAACATTCAAATATTCGTTGAAATCCCAGAATAAAAGCAGTATTATTTAATAGGCCTGTCTGCCCTGGTAAATTCAGCATCTTACTTCAGTGTAGCACTAGAGCAGTAAGGTAACTTTCAGTTCTGGATGTAGCTAGGGTATGTGTGCTTTTGTAAAATGTAGGCATTTATCTCAGCAGTTGTCTGTATTCACAGTTCCTTCTCTGTTGATGTGCTTTCTTTTTTTACTCTGTTCTCAGACATGAGAGTCTTTCCTGTCTCCCATTCCAAACCCCATTTGTGTGAAAGAGACAGCACTTGTCACTGTGTGCAGTCAATACAGACTGAATACCTGGGATCTGTGGTATTCAAGAATATCATAATTAAGGAGCTGTCTTGCACAAATTACACTAACCTACATCCATCCCACTGTTTTGGTGAAGACCTCTTTGAAGGAAAAAAATATGACACAATGGGCATATTTTTTACTAATATTCTTCTCCAAAAAATAAACACTTTTATATAGCTCCATGTTACATTGTGTGCTTTCCCTTATTACAGCAAAAGTAGTTAAATGCATAGAAGAAAAAGAAACACATTTGTTTTAGCATCTACTTACCAGAAAGAGGTTTCGGTAGGTACGAGCAGTCATGTTTTATTTTCTCTCTTCATCACAAGGAAAAATACGCACTGCTGACCCGAGGATAGAACACCAGGTAAAACTCTCCCTTCCTCCTTTCGAGATTTTTGGTAGGGAAACAATGAAGATTTCTTGGGAAAATAAAAGTCAGAAACTAGTGAATATGGGAAGGTAGCAACTGATGGGAAGATCCCATTGTACAAATTTTGGATGGGAAAGTAGAACCTCTGCTTTCCAGGTTCTGAATCCAAAGCAGTTTCTAGACGACCACACACCTTCTACACTTTTGCAGCTCTTCTCGGTCTGTCCCACAAAAGCAGGAAACTCATTAGGAAAGAGGGCGGAGTGAGCAGTGGGAGTGCTCACCCGTGTCGTATCTCTTTGGTCTGCTTCGCCTCAACGAGAGAAACTGTCCTGAAAAATCTGGGTTTTCCCCTACGTAGCAAAGGAATCTTGATCTCTGCCTCACAAAGCAGGAACAACTGCCTGCCCAGCCCACATCACGTGGCCCACATATAAATCTATTTATGACTTCTGTAAAGTGTAAATTTATACATTTGTCCTGATCGAGTTCTGTTTGTCAAATGTTTATGTCCTCTTTGATTTTACAAACAGAAGGGGGGAAAAAAGCGGGGGGAAAGGGTATTATTTCACAGAGGGCTTAGTTAAAAACATTTTTACTCCCTGATGTATCTGGGAATGGAATGAGAGGTAATGATAAGCAACAGAACTGAATTAGGTACTGAATTACTCCTGTTATCTGAACATTTAGTGCATGTCTGAAAACTGGAATAGAATAGAATAGAATAGAATAGAATAGAATAGAATAGAATAGAATAGAATAGAATAATTTCAGTTGGAAGGCACTTACACCTTCCCCAACCCCCCACCTGCTTCAGTGCTGACCAGAAGCTAAAGCATGTTATTAAGGGCATTGTCCAAATGCCTCTTAAACACTAACAGGCAATCAAGGGGTGGGATTATTCTGAGCAGAACTTGTTAGGACACACATGAAATATTGTGTACAGTTTTGGTCCCCTCAGTTTGGATGTGGTCTGAAAAAATGGATATGGTCTGGTGAATGCCTTGAGGGTTGGAGAACTTCAACAGCTTAAGAGGCTGGATTTGTACAGCTGAGGAGAGAGAAGGCTTGGGCAGATGGTGAGTGTCTACTCACAGTTTTCCAATAGTAGTAGGTAGTTACAGAGAGGAGGGAGGGACTTTCCATGAGGTTACATGGTGACGGGATAGGAGGCAACAAGAAAAAGGTTAAGTGCCTCTAGATATAAGAAAAATAGTCTTTAATGTGAAATAGCAAAATGCTATTACTTGCCCAGAGAAATGGAGGAATCCACTGGGCTGGAAATATTCAAGATACGACTAAATTCAGGGCCCAGCTTTCAGTAAGAGGTTGGACCAGATCATCTGCTCTTCCAGCCTAGACTTGTCAATGTTTCTGTGTTTTGAATATTTTCTCCTTATAATTGCCTTTCTGGCTGCTGACAGATAAAGGACTTTAAGCTTTGATTGTTATCCATTTTTTGCTTTCAAGAGAATTCTTTTGAATATGGCTGACTAAACACCCACATAAAGGGGAGAAAGTCAGGATTCTGGTGTATATCATGTAATTTTGCAAGGCTGTTATTTAGATGGAAAATATGATTTGCATTTTGGGGTTGCCTGGTGTTGAGAACACCTTAACTGCTAAGGAAGATTTGAGAAAAGTGTTTTGACAGCCTCTTTACACAGGCATCATGACTGACCCATGATGGAATCTGTACATGTCAGTACAAACAGCAACTACTTTCTAACCAGTGTAGTTGGTGGTTGTTAGAACCGTTCCTCAGAGATACGATTTACATCCTACTGATTTGAGGAGGTAATTAAAATTATCCTCCTTCCTGTTCTCCATTTCCTCCTGTCTTCCTTGCAGTGATTCAATGCTCATGTGATCTCTTGCTGAACCAGCCCAGCCATCTCAGTGGGAAAGTATTTACATTTTTCCAGAGTGAATTTAGTGGGCTTAATCTAGCCCCTAAAGTATCATCCAACCATTAGTTCTCCATTAAAGGGAAGCAATAGGGATGCATAGCCAGAGTGGTGGAGGAGAAGGGAGGAAGAGTGGGAATAATTTCCAGGGCTGTAGTGGCTGTCATTTGATTGACTTGGCCCAAACCATTGGAGCAGAAGGAAATTCTTCCTTTTTTGGTGGAGTAAGCCCCACAGAAAGATGTAGAAATAATCTAAGGCCCATTTTTTACTCAGCAAAGTCTGTTAGATATATAATGGATTACCAGCTCAGCCTGATGACTTTAGACAACTCCCAGCTCTGGTATGTACACTGACTACTGTCCAAAGGCTTCAACAATTTGACCATTGTTGAATCCCCCTTGTAAGTTCCTACAGAAGGTACTTCAGCTGTGTGGAGGGAGCTGTGGCACTTTGCTTGTCTACACATTCCCCTGTTCAGATTCTTCCCAAACTGCTTTGGTGCTAGATCTTTTTGCTAAGTTAGTAGAAAGTCAGAAAGGTGAAAAAATTCTTCATTATTTGCTGGAGAACTACTTCTGTGATTGGAAATGCTGTATTTGATTTGTGGATAGATAGAAAGATGTTGATTTTGCTGAAAATCTGAATAGCAGTTTTGATTGGTGCACCATTTTTTAAAATAGTCTTGGACATAGTTATGAAATATTAGGATGAAAAGGGCTAGAAATGGTAGGTCTGTGTTGAATTTGTTATTGCTTGTATTGATTGCATCAGTTTATTTCTATTGGAGTTTAGGAATTAATTTTATTCATTTACAAGCATGCATAAAACAACAATACTTTATGATGCAGCTGTGAGTGCATTAGTTGAACATGTTTATGAATGTGATACATACTGTTTTGTAAGTCTAAGGATACAAAGCAGGATGAATTTCTATAAACTAACCTTTGTAATATGTTTTCTAGCAGAAAAGTGCTTCTACACAAGTACACGAGGCCTTTTAGCATTTCTGAAGGACTTCTGAAATTTTTGTTTGTCTGCTGTTTTGGTTCTTTCCACAGTCTGGTTCAGACTGTCACTGGGATCCATAGCAAAGAAAAATTGATCACAAGCTACATCAACGAGTTTCTGGTGATTAAAAAGCACAGAAAATGCTGTGGGGCTTGGGTAAGGCCTGAGAGATATCACTCTGCAGGGTTTGTTAAACAAGGTGTTGAAGCCTGGGAGAGTAAACAAGCACATTTATCCTGCTGTGCTAAATGGTCTCCCTTTCATGTGCAATAGTTATTTTTTTTCTTTTTTATCAAAAGCATTCTGTTTTCTGTTGTTCGGTCATACTGTGGGAACCTTCATTTAACAATATATTTCTTTAGGACTGTTCTTTAGAACAATATATTCACAGTTAGGACTGTGAATTTCCTTTTTTTTCCCCCACTTCTTTCTTTGTTTCTTCCCATATCTCATTGTCAGCCTCTAGGAAGCATTTCACCTTTCCCCCGTTTCATTTCACTATCTACTCAACCTTCTGCCCCAGCTGCTACTAATTAACTTAGTACCTACACTAAGCTCAGTTATCAGCTCGGTATGCAGAGAAGCTTGCTTTATTCCCAAGGGTTTGTGACATGCACACCATGGCACGATTAATCTGACTGTAATTGCCAAGTCTACTCTTCCTCATAACCTCATCCTGAAGCAATTTCTGAGAACCTGAGCAAGTACTGGGGACAAAGTGCTATTGAATCACCTTTTCCATGCTCACCTTTTGTCCCCCTGGTTTTGCACAGTCACTTTTGTGACTAAGCAAATTGCATCACTGCATTTTATCTAGAGATCATGGGACAATGATGAGCTCTGGTTGATGTTTCTGGTCAGTATAATGTTGTAGGCAGGAGAAGGAAAAAGCCCAAGGAAAGTGAAATGCCTATGCTTGGATATTCAAAATATGTGTGTAACTTTGAGAAAATTGTTAGTGTTTGACCTGCCAGAGCTTAATGGTCATACATTTCCTAGGAACTGGCAATCTCCGTTTCCTTCC